CCTTTTTGTCTTTTTTCGTGTCCGGCAGCGGATCGCAACCCTCAGTGTTGCGCCCGGACCGGACCGGACTGGACCGGCAACGGGATCACAACCCTCGGTGTTGTGCCCGCACCTCGCTCAGCCAGTGAGCGGGAACCGGTCTGTATGTGGGATCCGAACCCTCAGCGGGAGCGCCGCCGCGCTCCCAAGCGGCGCACTGTAGCAGTGCGCCACCGGGCCGGCCCCATAGGGCCAGGTTTTAGTTAAAAGGGAAGGTGACATTACCGTGAAAGGAGAAGGGATGGGGTGCGGGTGTCTGAGGAAGGGAAGGCAGGAGTGAGGTGCTGAGAAAGGGAGTAGATTTTGGACTGTGGAGTGGAGTGAGGCCTGAGACAGGGAAATGAGTGGACTCTGCAGACAAATGTCTGTTTCATGGTGTTTCCTAGAACTGACCCCATCTGTAGTTAAATTACATATGTGTATGGAATAAAAAGGATTGGAATCTCAATCTTGCTTGAAATTTGATTTTATATTGAAGAATTAAGATTTTTGTTAAATTTTGAGATGAAAGCAAAGCTAATTGTTTCTCTTACACTGGTGAGAAGACCATTGAACCCACGTAAACCTAACATAACTCACAATTTTGCCATCTGGCTTTGGCCCTCAGCTGTAATCTCAAGGATGTGCTCCCTCTACTACGTAAGAAGTAGAGGTCTGTGGGTAAGGGCAGGGTCACCTCTGCAGATGCTGTGTCTCTCTTTCATTAGATGATTCCTATCCCGCGAGCCCATCACTTACATGGTCTCACTCTTTGGTCCTCGAGAGGCCTGAGGTCAGCTAAGAGAGACCCTTTCAGACTCCCAGGAGAGCTATGGACCATTTCTTCAGAAAAGGGCCCAGATGCACAATTTTTGCACAAAATTTCAAGGATGGTGGTAGGTATCTTAAGGACTATCCATGGGGTGGTAGGTATCTCAAGGACTATCCTTGCCTGGGCACAGGTCACTGTTTGGCTACCAGGGAATGTCCCTAAACTCCAGCTTGCTCATGAAACTTTTTCCTGTCCATCAGATTTTTGTCTTTCCCCACATTTTCTCATAGGCATGAATTGCTTGATTTTTGTAGCTCAAAATGCCCTGAGGTGCTTGTGTGGTAGAAATACTGAGTCATAATTTTTTTTTTTAAACCTCATTTTTTCTAAGCTTACTTCTCTTTAAAACCTATTTTAATTCCATTTCATCTTCAAGTTTGTGAACACTTGTGACTAGTCTGACTCATTCACAAAGATTTCTGGGGAAGGAGGGATCTGAAGATTCTTCTAGCTTAAAGTCTTATAAGATTTTCTCAGCATTATGAAATAATTTCTCACGTTCCTTTTTCTTCTGTGATGGAGAAACACTGTTCTGCCACCTTTGATCACCTTGAGACTGTTATTGCTTTATAAGGGATGTTATAAGCAACGGAAGGTAAGGATGTGGATGAGTACAGACCCTATTATGGAAAATAGCACTTAGATTGAGTGATAATTATCAATATCTTTGGAGTCCACATCAGAGTAGCAGAATCAACAAACCCTGAAAGGGAAGAAGGTTTTGTGCCTTGAGAACTCCATCAAAGCCTGGTTCTTCAAATCCTGCAGTCCTTGAAGTGCCTGAGGTGGGTGCTTTGGAGATGCCAACAGATTTGTATTTATATTGCCAATGGGCCTCTTTTAAACTGAGTTCACCTGTTCAGTACTCCCATCTTTCTTTCCATCTACCCCCAGTTTGGACCCACAGCAGAGGGTGGTCTTCCCTTTCTGCAGATGGACAGAGCTTCCGTATGGGTGGAATGGACGTGTCCTCTGGGATGTTCACTGTCAACATGATGAATGAAACCAGGTTCATGTTTTTTTTTTTTTTTTTTTTTTTTTTTTTTTTTTTTTTTTTTTTTTTTTTTTTTTTTTTTTTTTTTTTTTAATGCTGGTTATTACTTGAGGTTAGGTAGAAGAATTGTTTACAAGTCATACTGTAAGAAAAAGGGCAAGTTCTCAGAGGTTGTGAGAGAGAGAAAATAGCATGGGGTACTTGTTTATGGTCAGGTCATGGTTTGCTAAGGATTTGTACCAAGGAGGGGGATGTTTGTTGGGTTCTCCCTGGCCGCCTTCCCGAGGCAGGACTTCATGGCCCCTTGGAGGCTTGTCCACCAGTCACCTTTGAGAGGGAATCATTAGACACAGAGGAAATGTGATGTTGATTTGAAGTGGGAAGAGCTGGAAAGATTTGTCTTCACATGAATGTGTGTACTGAGTATCATGTGGCAGGATCTTGTGGAAGGAAGACTTCCTGGCTACTGGAAGTCAGTGACAAGCCAGGTTTCATTTTTGAGCAAGGCAGATAGCAGGAGAAGATGTGGTCCTGGGTGGGCTGTAAACATGGTGCTCTGAGTATGGCAGTGAGCGGGAAAGATGATTTCCCATGCTCTGCTTTGTGAGCAAATGGGAAATCACATCTTCAGAAGAAAAAATCATTCTTTGCTTCATAAACCTATGGCAGCCTCACTTGAGCTATTGATTTGTTTAGTTTGCAATCATTACTTTGCAAGAACAGCTCATTTCAAACAAGAATACTTGTGCTCAAAATGTAGCTCTTTCTCGTTGAGGTGTTTGAGGACTTCGCAGCCCACCCTGCTTCCCGGGTATACAGTGGTGGTTTGGTTTCACTCGGTTTTGATTGTCTTTTTTCCTCCCAAAGCAAGATGCCCAGGCACTGCCCTCTCCTCCCCAGCTGGCCCTGGACGAGGAGAACTGTGCTAATACAGATTACTGCCACCAGGTTACCACCAAGGAAGGGGCAGGTGCAGCACCTTTGCCTTTGTGTCTGAGCTCTGGGACTTCAGTGGCATCTGATTGGAAATGCGAGCTCACAGTGAACTGACAGCCACCCACTTTAAAACTGGCCTGAAATCCAGAGGGAAAGGGAGGAGGGAGAGCCAGGAGGGCAGGTGGGTGGAAGGGTGGCCCTGCTAATCCCATCGTTAGCCCTTCAGGTTCATAGTTGCAGAGGCATGGCAGCAGCGTCCTCTGTAGCACAGCAGGTGGATGCCAGTGAGGGGGAGGCTGGAGGAGAGGTGGACAGCCCAGGGCCACAGGGGCTGCAAGTGCTGGGCTCCTGCCTCCTCCTTCGCTTTACTTCCCAGTGTAAGATCAGGGCAGCCCATAGCTCCCAGGCTTCCCTCCGGTTAGTCTTCTCTGGGACAGGATAGGTAAGGGCTCCACAACTATTTTGGTATATTCTAACAAAGTGCCTTGCCGATGTGGCGATGTTAGATAATACACTTAGGAGGAGGCTGGGGAAGCAGGCATTCGATGGCAGGGGAAAGCCCAGCTCTTGGTGGGGGGACAGTGCTGTGGGTTTCACTGAGGCCTTCCCAACTGTCTCTCCAGAATTGAGGTCATTTAGAAGTGACTGAGAATGAATTGGGAGTCTGTCTATGGAAAATGTCTATTTCAATTGAAATTTTAAAAATGCCTACCCCAGGAGAGAAGGCACCATTATCTCCTCTCTTTGGAGCATTGGTGAGGAATGGCCAGTAAGTATATGATAGGCTGGACAATTACAAACACCGTGATCACTAAAATTACCTCTCTATACTAGAAGTGCCTTTAGAGACAAGTTGGTTCTGTCTGATGAGGTTAACAAGTCATTAGTTTTGCATGGGTATTTGAGCAAATCTGTGTATTTTTATGTTTAATACCTTTGAGTTCCTGCACTTCTGAATATTAAGTTTATTACACCTGACCTGTCATCAATCATCAGAAACAAATGTATAATCTGTACAGAGTGCTTCTGCTTATACATAAGCAAGTACCATTAAGAGTACAGGTAAAAGAACATAGGAGTGGTGGAATGGGGTTACTGCTTTCGGCAGAATTCTGAGGACAGCTTTACACTGTAGCCAGAGTTCTTGCTACTTGGGTATTGGAAAACAAGTACCATTAAGAGTACAGGTAAAAGAACATAGGAGTGGTGGAATGGGGTTACTGCTTTCAGCAGAATTCTGAGGACAGCTTTACACTGTAGCCAGAGTTCTTGCTACTTGGGTATTGGAAAATTTTATGTTCAGTAATCCCTCTTGCACATTTTAGTTATTAACTTGCCTATTTTCTGTGTAATTTGAAAAATTGGAATAAAGTGATTAAATTAATAAACTTGCATTAAGGAAAGTGGCCAGCATGAATCCCATTATTATTGTGTTTCAAGAATTTTTCCTTAAATTTTCATTTTTGTCTCCCTCCCTAACCTAATGCCAATTTTGGGACTTTTCTTATACTTGCTATAGTGATCCTAATTGATTTGAGTAGGAATAGTTTCAGAGTAAATTTTTTTCATAAATGAAGTAATTTCAGTCAGTCCTGGAAGAATCTTTTATTTATAAACAGAAAAATCTACATTAGATATAAAGTGTCCTAGATTGTGCAAGTTGATAGGAGCTGTTTGGTAATAGGCAAGATTAAGAGGGTGCATACCCTTATGCTACAGTTAGTTTCTAAAGAGCAGGACGCTTTTTTGCCGGGGAAAGTCCTTAGGCCAAGGGGTCACTGATCGGGGATGGTGAGGAAGGTGAGAGGGACATGCAGTGGCCAAAGCACAGGGGCCCACCCCCCACAGAACGTCACCTTCTGTCCCATGGCCAGTAGGACTGGTTTATAGAGAATCCTTCCTGGGACAGAGTTGGGTCCCTTCTGTGACTGTTAGGCATATGGGTTGATATGCCATATTTCTAACTTCTGCTGGACCAGCTGGTGATTTTTACTGATGATTTCATTTTAGCCAAACTCAGGCCCCGAATTGGTTTTGTCCGAAGATGAAAAAAGCGACCATGAAGATAAGGAGGAGACGGACTTGGGTGTCGTGGAGGATCAGCGCAGTGTGATTCTGCACCTCATTTCACAGCTCAAGCTTGGGATGGATCTGACCAAGGTAGGCTGGCGTGTCCCGCTGTATTTGTGGCCAGTTGTTTGCGTTCCATCTCCATCCTCAAGCCTTCCCTATTCACATTCTTTTCATTTGGGTGAGATTGGGGAAATAGAGTGGGCAAAGGCCAGAGGGGCTTTCAAGTGTGGGTATTCCAGATGTGAGCTGAAAGGATACTTTTATGTAAGTGCTCATGCTCGGAGCTGGAGAGCTCTTTTTTCTTGCATGGGATTCTGTGGAGGAGCTGCTACTCTGCAAGGGCAGGGGGAGCATCAGAAAAAGCATATGAGATGATAAGGAAAACTCAAGGTAGTGTTTCTTTGTTTCCTGCTGTGTCCTAGAGAAGATTAGGAGTGGCCCATAGAGAGAGCTGTGGCACAATGCCACAGAGTGAGCAAGGGAGATGGCAGAGCCTGGAATGAGGCCACCGTGTGTGCATGCCCAGCCTCACAGTCTGCTGCTGGCTGTCACTAGCTTCAGCCACTAGTCCCCAAAGGGCAACATGTTGGTCATCCAGATCTCCTCGTCCACGTGTGAAGAAATGACCCCACTGGTGGGCAGAAGTGCGATTCTTGGTGCCGGTGTGGCCGCGTCTTCCTGAGGAAGCTCGTCAGCAGAACCCAGTGTCAGCGGTGAGGGTCCCGGGTACATCCTTCCTCGCCTCAAGTCAGTAGCTTTCCTCTAGAGACAAGCAGGAGCAGCACTTTTATATGTAGCTGAAAGCTTGGCTGGTGTCACTGGGGACATTGTGGGTGGCAGGGAGAGCCTGGCCTTTGCGGTTCGGCCTTCCTGGGTTCCACTTCTGGTCAGTCGCTCCAGCTGCAATGCCTCCCTGGAAGGGAGGTGTGAGGATCGCAGGTGGCGAGCAACGGACCCAGCCCGGTGCTGCACTCTAGTAAGTGGATCGCCATTCTTATCCTTACCAAGTGCCACATGGTGTGGTTTGACCGTGCCGAGGTAGAGGTGCAGCTGTTAGGAAGGCACAGACGGGACCTGTGGGGAGGGTGTGCTGGGGATGGACGTTCTAGATTCTGAAGTCCAGCCAGAAAACGTGGACGCGCTTCAAAGTGGTCAGAGCCACTGAAGGCACTGCCCGTGAACACAGCCTTCAGGGTAATTGGCTTGTTTGGCTGCAGCGAACGATCTGGATTCCACGAGTTCACCTCAGACTGGGCTGGAGGCGGAGGACAGAGAGGGAGGCAGCGTGGGTGCGAGAGATTCTTTGAAGAGGAAGGTGACAGGACACGGTGACTGACCCTTCACAGGAGACAGGAGAGAAGAGAGGAGATGGGAGCCTTAAAGATGACAGAGAACCTTTTTTTTTTTTTTTAAATGTTTTTTTTGTGTTTGGATGTGAGTGTGTCTGATATTCCGGGACACTCCACCATTTTAAGTAAAATAGTGGGTGCACGCTGAGGATGCCCGACACAGAACGTTCCCTGACTTAGCCGTGACCCCTGGGCTGGGCCCTTCCCACCTCGTGCGCCCAGCCGTGCACACCTGCCGAGTGTGCTGCTGCCCCGCATGTGAGTCTCCCAGCGTGCAACTCTCGCTGCTGCTCTGCTGGAGGAATCATTGAAATGCTTGGCTTTTTAAAAGCTGCCTATTTTTTATTCTTGTGGATTGTGTAGACACACAGGTGCAGCTTGGGTTAAAGGCTGGTGGAAGGCGAGTAATCATGTGTACAAGTACGATCTAAAATCACAGCATTTCCAAACTATGGGTCATGACCTGTTAGTGGGTGGTGGAACTAATTTATGGGTCAGATTATCATTTCTAAATAAACGAGATAAAATATAATAGAAGATATACTGCACATAAAACTTTTAGTTCTGTTGATACATGTGTACTCGGTACAATATAAAACATATTCTCATTGTGGATCATGTTTTTTAAAATGTTTGTAAAACTCAGACCTGAAATCATAGATAATAGAGGAGAGAAACTGTAAGAGAAACTGAAATTGTCTAGGGCAGATATGGAAAAACTATAACGTGCTGAGGGGACTATATTCTGGCAAGTTGTGTCTAAGAGACTTGTAAGGCTCTCTTGTTTTAAAATAAAGAAATCATTAAAACTGTGCACTTTATATTTATTATTTTATCAGGATATGATTGTTTTGCATTTCTGGAGCCACAGCCTTTTCCTAAAATAGCAAACATTGCATTTATCCAGTACTCAGTTCGGTACCTGAAAGAAAAACTTTTCTTTAACTTACTTTCCTGGGAAGAAGCCGTTATTCAAAAACCAGAGGGAGATTTGACAAGCTGAAATACCTGTGACAGGAGAAGGTGGACCTTTCGCTATCTCCTGAGGCTTTTAGGCTTTCATTGCCCTGGATCATAAAAAGATTGATGACATTTTCTGCCCCCTTACCGTCTCCTTTTCTCTTCTTGGTTCTTGCCCATGTCATTAAGTTAAACTTGTGCTGAATTGGCAATGGGAGAACTTAGCTGGAATGGAGAGTCTGATGAGCAGGCACCCTGGAGGGAGATAGAACATTCTTCAGCCCAAGGGTGACGCTCTCATCTCTGTCCGTAAAAGATGTATACTGCCCCGTCTTTGAGGACGTGCCCAGATCGTTACTGGCCTGGCCGGGCCTGTAGTGCTGCATTTGGCCTTAGTTAACTATGGTCACCAGACAGGGCCAGTCTCGTGGGCATTTGACCTGCTGGGTCACACAGCCCCCCATGCTCAGACGGGCCTGTGGTTGGTTTAATGGGCTACTGTTGCTGTCTTGAAACTCTTAACTTTTCAACAAGGGGACTTGCATTTTCATTTTTCACTGGGTCCCACAGAGCATGTCACTGTCCTGCTTCCAGAAGCACCCTCGTCTGTCCTCTTTCTTCAGCTGTGGTTCCCCAACCCCAGGTTCCAGGTGACTGTCTCCACTGGTAAGCTGTTGTAGTTCCACCAATTGTAGGTAGCCTAGAAAAGGAGAGAGAAGGGGGCTCACAACGGCCTCTGTGGGGAAGGCCCATGTAGGTTGCGCTGACGCTAAGTGTGTGAGTGGGAAGAAGGGCCTTCCTGGTGAAGGGAGCAGGTGGGAATCATGACGTGGTGTCAGGAGGTGCTGAAGTAGCTGTTGTGCTGAGTCCCGGCTCCAGAGAGAAGGGCCCACGGAATGCGATGTTGAGCTTGGAGACGTGTGGCCATTTTCACTTAGTGTTCAGGGCTATGAAAGGCAACACTTGGGGTAACGAGTATGTTCACTCTGTTAGATGTACTGAGTGAGCACTGCACGTGCCAAGTACTGTTCTAGACACTGGGAGTGCAGCAGAACCCTCAGATCCCATGCCCTGGTAGAGCTTGTGTGATGGTGGAAGGGGCGGACAGCACGGCAGGGAGGGTGGCCGGTGATGGGGTGGGGCATGCCCTCCTGAGCTGATCAGGGTAGGGTTCCACATGACGTTTGAGTGGAGACCATATTAAATGAGGCAGTGAGCTATGGGAATATCTAGAGAAGAGTGTTCTGTCCAGAGGGGACAGTGACTGAAAATGGCCCAAGATGGACCTTGCCTGGCACGTGAGGATGAGCAGGAAAGCCAGCATGGATGGATCTGCGTGAACTGGGTGGGGCTGGCAGGAGATTGAGTAGACGAGACAGCAGGGACTGATCACAGGGCCTGGCAGGATATTGTAAGCACTTGGGATGCTATTCTGAGTGATAAGGGTGGCCCCTGGAGGGTTTTGAGCAAAGGAACATGTGGCCTTACTATATTTTTAAGTGGTCATTTGGACTGTTATGTGGAAAGTAGACTGGGACAGGGTGGCTGGGGTGGGGACAGCAGGGCTTAGGACAGAAGCAGTGAGGAGGCTACTGTAGTGACCCAGGTGAGAGATGATGGTGGCACGTGGCAGTGGCAGGTTCAGGATACACTGAGAAGACAGGCCAACAGGATTTGCATGTGGGTTTGATGTGGAGTATGAGAGAAAGGGAGGAATAAAGGATGACTGTAAGCTTTTGGCCTGAGGAACTGGAATAATAATAGAGTTGCCATTTGTTTCAGTGACCTATCTCTGGTCACCACCCTGGAACTTAGTGGCTCAAAACAATAACCATTTTATTTGTTTATGGCTATGCGATCTGGGGCAGGCTCAGCTGGGCGATTCTGCTGCTGGTCTTGCCAGTGGTCACTTGTGCATCTGTTGTTAGCTGGTGGGTTGGTGTGGGCTGGACTTGGCTGGGATAGGTCGGCCCCTCTCTCTGTGTGAAGGCTTAGGACCTTTCTCTCTCCATGTATCCTTCCCACATGGTTTCTCCAGCTGGATAGTCAGACTTCTTGACCCAGTGGAGTTGGTTCATACTCCAGCTCTCTACTTTACAAAATCTCTCTGGGCCCTCATTTTCTAATCTGTAAAATGGAATAGTCATACACCTGCTCATAGGTTTCTGAGAAGATTGCACAAGATAATGTATGTGAAAGCCAAAGCACTGTGCCTGGCTTGAGTTTTGTAAATACTTTGTTTCAGACATTTCATGCAGTTTTACAACAAATTTCTTGTTTTATATAATTGTGTCTCCTTTTTCTCTGAGCATTTATTTTAACTGATAATTTACAGAAGCATCAGAGGTGGTGCAGTGGTTGCTCTGGTCGATGGGAGATCATCTTAGTTTTCATCATTGTCACTGAAATATTATGTGACAAGTTTGTGTGTAATCTCCATTGTCCTTATCTTTCCTGGTCTTCAAATGAGGTTACTGATCCCTGATTATAACAGCCAGCATAGAGTGAACATTTCCTGTGTGCTAGGTTGGCACTTGGCTGATTTAACACTGTCATTTAATACAAACAAAAACTCTAGGTGGTGGTTCTTCCTACTTTCCTATTTTACAGAGGAGGATTGAGTCTTGGAGAGATGAACTTGCCCAAGTGCGCATGGCTAGTAATTACCTAGAGAAGAACCTTGGCTCACAACTGACACCCTTCTATGAGCTGAGGTCTGGGACTCAGAAGGAATACAGGGATTTATTTCAACAGATGTATCTCTCTGTGTGTAGTTAA